ACGAATGAAGCTTTTCTGCAGGTAAAAAATATGTCTTTTAACAGGGGGCCATAGTCCAAAGGCAGCAGGCGAGCAACCAGGCTTCTCCAATGCAATGTGGCGAGATTGGTCTCGTCACATCTCTCCCCTTTTCCAAACAGACTAACAGGGTATCTGACCTCCTGCCGGTCAGTGCCCTTGTTAGTCCAGCAGCCCACCCACAAAACACAATCAACAGCACAGCCCACCCACAATAAATAGTTACTGCACCTGGGTAGAGGAGAAACTTGTCCATGTCCAGGTGCCTCACCACGGCTGTGCTGGGTACGGGTACGCTGACTTGGTGGGGTGCTGCGTGGGCAGAGACCAGCGTCACTCTGCCCTGTTGCCAGCGCTACTGGGAGGGTAGCCTGGTTGAAGCCTGGTTGTTGGAGGGGGAGACCGACTGTCTCCCCTTTAAATACACAGTCCTGCTACTGGAGACCGACTGTCTCCCCTTTGGTTACACAGCTCTGCTGCTGGAGGGGGAGACCGACTGTCTCCCCTTTGGATACTCTAAGCTGTCGCTGGGGAGAGGGGGTAACAGGCTCCTCTCTCGATAGAACACTCTGCCGCTGGGGAAAGGAGACTGAGCTCTCTATTCCCTGCCCATTAATGATCCGCTGCTGGGGAGAGGTGGTAGCAAGCTCCTCTCCCATACATACTTTCATCCTCTGTGGAGGGAGACCGACTGTCTCCGCTCCCAATACAGTGTCCTGCTGCTGGGAAGGGGAGACTGGGCTCTCTATTCCCTGCTGGATACTCTGCCGCTGGGGACTAGAGACTGGGCTCCCAATTCCCAACCAATAACACTGCCGCTGGGGAATGGAGACTGGGCTCCCAATTCCCGGCACATCACACTGCCGCTGGGGAATGGAGACTGGGCTCCCAATTCCCGGCACATCACTCGGCCGCTGGGGAATGGAGACTGGCCTCCCAATTCCCAAAAAATCACGCTGCTGCTGGGGGGCAGGAACAACTACCTCTGCCCCCTGTAGCTCAGCCTGCCGCTAGGGAGGGAGGACGCTGCTCTCCTCTCCCTGCACTTTACACTGCCTTCCCGGCATATCACTCTGCTGCTTGGGGGCAGGAACAACTACCTCTGCCCCCTGTAACTCAGCCTGCCGCTGGGGAGGGAGGACGCTGCTCTCCTCTCCCTGCACTTTACACTGCCGTTGGGGAATGGAGACTGGGCTCCCAATTCCCGGCATATCACACTGCCGCTGGGGAATGGAGACTGGGCTCCCAATTCCCTGCATATCACACTGCCGCTGGGGAGAGGAGACTGGGCTCTCTCTGTCCCGCATCTGTAGCTGCCGGTGGAGGTCCACCCACCGTGGCAGCTGACCGTCACCCTCTGCCCGGTACAGCAGAGTCTTGAATACTAGACTCCTCACGAACTTCACGGATTTCTCAGCTGGATTAGGTACGAAGAAGTTCAGCTGCAACCACATCATACGGTCAAATTCCTGTACAGAGTATCTGTACTCCACTGCTGGTTCCATTCTGTTGCTGTCAGGGTCGCTGTACTGAGACATGCGTTGCCCTCAAATTGTAAAATCCACGGAATGGTGTCTCCTGTAGCTGTCCTTCTGGCTGTAGGAACGATCCCACCGCTGCCACCAATTGTAACGGACCGTTTTGCACAAAAGGGAAAAAAAAACGCTTAGACGATAATCCCCTTTCAGAGACAGGCCCAGTCCCAGGTCTCCGTTGGGGTGTGCTCAAAAAAATTGCTCCAACAATAGTAGCTGTACCACATCCTCTAAGGTCGTTGCTAGGCAGACCTGCATCCAGTTTTGGGCCACCCTGTGCATTTGAAACGCCAATTCCACATAGGAGTCTCTGTTCCCTTTTCTCAAATCACGAATCTTTCTCCTATATGCTTCTGGGGTGACTGCATACTGTGCTAGCAGAATATCTTTTACCCTTACGTAGTTGTGTATAGCAGCGTCAAGAACTGCCCGGTATGCTTCTGCTGCTTGGCTGATGAGTTTGCTGCTCAATATTGCGGCCCACTGTTCCTGTTCCAGTACCTCTAAAGCGCATTAACGTTCAAAGTCCTGTAAGTATGTGTCGATCTCCATCAGCAAAAGTTTTAAAAGCAGCATTGTTATTGAATTAGAACACAATAACACTTCATTGGCATACAGTTTAGCTGTTAATCAGTTCCCCCCCACTTATTACAGCCATTCACTGATCCCGAACTACTGAGCCTGAGTGATTATAGCCCTCAGTTCAGGTGTAGATTTGAACAGTTCCAGACGAATGCAGCATCCAAGTAGTGTTCTCCCCAGCAAGTAGTTTAATGGTGCCACACTGGCTTTTATGCAAGTCCCCATGCAAGGTGCACCACATGGACCTTGTTGGAGACCCCAACACAGTTACAAATTGTGACACTCCCAATACATATATATATATATAATCTCTCTGCTTTGCCTGTGAGATAACTGAGTCAGATACTGTAATAACTCAATTATCTCCAGGCAGAAAAAATACTTAAAAAGTACTCCAAAACACATAAAGTCCCCATAAATATTATATCCCCTGATAGCCCTGATCTGGGTGACCAACATATCCAAAAATCACCCAGATCAGGGCTATCAGGGGATATAATATTTATGGGGACTTTATGTGTTTTGGAGTACTTTTTAAGTATTTTTTCTGCCTGGAGATAATTGAGTTATTACAGTATCTGACTCAGTTATCTCACAGGCAAAGCAGAGAGATTATATATATGTATTGGTAGTGTCACAATATCCAAACATATCCAAAAATATCCAAAAATCACCCAGATCAGTTCAGGGGTTTTGGAATTTAATGAAAGTCTAATTTTGACCGACTGCACACGAGGCTCCTGCCCATAAATAGTTCCATGAGTTTAGGTTGTGCCGTCGGTCTAGTTTGGAAAGTCTCAAAAACGAACAAATGCACAAATGGTACCCCCTGGCTGATAGCAGCAATTGTTCCCCTAGTTTGTGGGAACAAAGCTACCAAACAACGCTCTCCTGGCTGTTCAGGAAAAAGGAAGCAGGTGTTCGCATAGTTTGACCAGTGTTCGCGAATACGAGTGTCCAATTTTAGTTCCAGACAGTCGACGACCAAGTCCCGCTGCCTCCTTTCATGCAAACAAGTTGCCCACTTAATCAACTGTTCTCTTTGCAGTTAATGAGTCAGGGGGGTGGTAGTTACAGCTACCGAACCAATAAAACATATAAGTCCCGAATAACATGGTGGTTTCATCACATTGAGTATCTATACTCTGATAATAAACATGTCGCTCTGTATAATAATACTGAGTATTTATACGCTGATAATAAACATGTCGCTCTGTATTATAATGTATACATGGCGAAAGTAACCTCACCAATGGTTTTTGGAGGGGCCTGTTTGCCAGTCTCCTACCCTGTAACTATGGCCCCTGTGTTAAACTCTGATTAAAATCTCGTCACGGGTGCTTGGGGGGGCCAGCTGGCCAGCCTCTTGCCAAAAGACTACAGGCCAATTCAACGATTGTAAAGACCCATATTTTATCCCCCCTGATTTCCCTGGTTCGGCACTTTCCATGGAACTGAACGCTAGCTCCATGGCGGCCGTTCGCATGGACCAAA